CTTGAGCTTCTGGGCGGCGTATGAGAGGAGCCATCCTGTATAAGGTAGATTTTCAATCATTTAGCTGCGCATGGACAAACACAAAATGCATTTTTAAATGGAGCACCCCGTATTTTGATATATTATGATTTTAATTAAAAATAAGTATTATTCATTTAACTTAATATTATGAATAATTGTACTGTTTTTAATTAATTACATTTGAAAATTGACATTTTCAGATTTTGAAAAGCAGTTCATGTGCCTTTATGAAAGACTTTTTAAATAATGATATAAGAACATAGACACAACCTGGTTTGGCTGTTAATATTTAATGGTATAGACAAATCTAAAAAATACTAAAAAATATAATTTTCAAACATAAATAATTCAAAAGTAATTGAATCAGTGTATGGTACGTTAAATGAAAAATTACAAAAAATTTGATTAGAATCAAATCAAAAAATTTTTAGAATCAATATCTGCTATGAGTTTCTCCATTTAAAACAATTCAATTTTGATCGGTTTTATCTTGTCTTTCAGGTACTCCTTTGTATAAATATAAATGCGCCAAAAAACTACATAATATATCCTAGAATATTTAATAAAAATATATATAGGGTGTTTCTTAATGAAATAGTTGGGTTCACGAGGAAAATTATTGGTTAATTTTAAGAAAAAAACTTCACAGGAAACTAGTTCCTAAACCTATCAACTTGATAACTGAGATACAGAGTGGACAAGGTTCCTAGAATCGTTTTGGCGGAAAATTAACTCAAGAGTCGCTTAACTTATATCATAATATATTATTAAAAGGTTAATTATACAGTAGGTCCCCGGATTGTCTTTACAAGAGGAGAAACTTTTTTATTATTGATATTTTGAGAAAAACGCATTCGTCATAAAAATTTTTGCTTGTTCTAAAATGGTTAATCCCGTTTATACTTTTCCAAATTTCCATACCGTTTTAGAGAAAATTAAAAAGAAACTGAAAATATGGTTGAATTTTTTGAAAGTCTTAAAAATCAAAACGCGTTTCTATGGTTTTCGTTCTTTGTTGTTATTGATAGAATTTTAATTAACGTCATATTTTTGCGTTTTAAAATGATAAAAGAAACACAAAATTTATTTAGTTGAATGCTACGGAAAGGATGATAATGGTTATCGGAAAATGTGATACCTTAACAATAGCAAAACATATGTCATTAACCAAAATTAATAATACCCATCTATCAAAGAATGAAATCTAAATTATATTACCATAAAAACTCGGTTTCATTTTTAGGGCTTAGAAAAAATCAACGATATTTTCATGTTTATCATTTTCAAACGGTATTAACCATTTTAGAACAAGCAAAATTTTTTATTAAGAATGCATTTTTCTCAAAATATTAATAATAAATATATTTTTCCTCTTGTAAAGATAATCCGGAGACATACTGTATATTAGTTATATATTATTACCATAACATATTAAAATGTACCGAGAGGAAAATCCCGAACATATTCTAAATGATATGATAGTCGGTCGCTTAGGGTTACCAAACCGGGTGCCCGGTGCATATTTATCCCCGAAATACCGATATTAAATCCCAGGATTCCGAAAATGTCGAAAAATTTTAATGCCCAATCTAAAATGATTCGAGTTAGTCTTTCAAATATCATATTTTATTTATACTAACAGCGCTTTTAGATGGAGCGGAGCGTCCGCGCGTACCGTCCGCGTGTTCCACTAGTTCAAATGAACAGTTTTACATGGATCGCGCGTATGCTCCGTCCGGATGAGATCGTCGACGGCTATCTTATCTTGAAAAAATATCCGTGCGGACGCTCCGCGCGTACGGTCGCGCTGAGTCCTGAAAGCGCTGTTACAGCGTTTTCAGATAGAGCGAAGCGTCCGCGCGTACCGTCCGCGAGTTCCATTACAGGGCTTTCAGATGGAGCGGAGCGTCCGCGCGGACCGTCCACCAGTTCCATGAATTTAAATGAACATAATTTCACATGGATCGCATATGTTCCGTCCGGATGAGCTATCTTGAAAAAACATACGCGCGGACGGTCCGCTCCATCTGAAAGCGTTGTAAGCCGAACGTCAATATCTAAGTGTTATATTTCCGTGTTTGCTATATTATTTTTGCAACAAGAATTTTATTTTTTTTTACTAACTACATATGGAAAATTACTTTGTTTATTCTATTTTAATAAAGCTCTTTCCTCAATTTCTTTTTGATATATTATGTAGCTGCATTTTTATTAAATATTTCTTTAGATTAAATTTCTCATACTGATCCCCGCGATTCCGGGATTATAGGTTCTTATTCCGGGATTTTAAATAATTGGAAACCCTACTTACACTGAGTGAGAGTTTTTTTTATATCGTTAGTTGTATTGGCTAAATATTTGTGAACAATGGGTTAGAAATACCGTTTGATCGAAAAAGAAACGGCGTCATAGACGCCTGGGGAATGATAATAGTTGCTAGTTTCGGCGAGGTCAATCTCTAGACGCTAGTTTCTAAAAATTGACATAAAACTTATCAAAAATTAATAATAATTTTCTAACATCTAAAAAATGATTGTATGTTTCCAGACTCACAAATCTACTTCCAAAAAAGTATTTTTTTCTCGAATTTTAAATTACATTATTAAAAAATAATTTTTACTAATATAAAAATAAATTACAACGTTCTTAAAGTCAATTGGCAGTAAGCGCCATGAAAAAATAGAGAATAGTACGGGCCAAGTAAATGGAGATCTAGGGCTTGACCTCGCTCATAATAATAATTATTGATTGTCATTCCCAGCCGTCTTTGACACTGTTTTTTCTTTCGATCGTATGGTACGTTACGATTTTTTCGGTAAATATGTGATAATATAATATAGCTGCTTGAACGAAAATATTGATTCTAAATAGCAATATGTAGCATCCACAAACACTAATTCTGAATCAGCGTAGCTACACGGAAATTACTAAAAATTTTATATTAAAAGGTTAATTGATAATTACACACATTCGACAATAGTTGTGGAGTCCTTTTCACAGGAAGTTGAAATTTGTATATTTGTCGTATCTATATACACATTTTTATGGTGCAAGGTATTTGTGGTAGCACAAATACACATTCTAAAATTATAATATTTGTGGAACAGGTTTCCACAATTAATAAATGCCAATAACTTTCTTACGGTGGAGTGTATAGACATATAAATTATATTTTTAGGTCGTGGACAGCGAGTTCGTATCATTTCGTACAAAAATAGAGATGCTACCACAAATGTCTTTACTGCACGGTTGTCACAAATATGGTCATACGTGTATAGGTGGATTGGAATGTTTTTTTTTAATGGAACACACTGTATATTATTGCATTTTTGGCTTCCTTTCTGATTACTTTAAAAAATCCTAAGATATATGTTTTTATAGTTTCAGAAATATTATTATACAAATAAAAAAACTTCAGCCTCTTAAAAAAATATATTAAAAATACAAGAAATGTCCTGAAATCAAAACCATACTAGGTATTTACTATACAGGGTGGTCCGAACTGTATTCCGGAAAGTTCGGCAGCATATTCTGCAGATAAAAATAAGTAAAAAAGTTCGTACAAATGTATGTCCTAAAATGCCTAGTTTCGGAGATACAGGGTGTAGAAGTTTCATTTTTATTTTCGATTTTTTCCAAATAATTTCTGAAGCAACGTCAATATTTGGATGAAAATTGGTGTCTGGGAGTTTTTTGACATGAGAAATATGATTTTGATGTCAATATGACTCCTACTTGTAGAGGGCGCCACCTACATATTTTTTAACTGGTTTGAAGAGTAATAACTTTTCGTCCGTACCTGTATAAAACTACTAAGTAAAAAAATATACATTTACGACGTTTTCCACGTGAAAAAGGTCTCTCGGTAAAAATCGCTACGAGTAATGGTTTTAGAGATATTTGGAATCGAAATTATCAACACCTGTCATCATTGACATAAATTAAACATGTTGACTAAATGGTTATTAGACTGAAATCATAAATTTGAAATGTTTCTGTGCTAAAAGTTCAACAGAAACTGTTTATCGTCATTTTTTGCAGAAAAATTTATGATTAATTTAAAAAAATTAAAATTTCCCGAATTTATTATTTCAGTCAAATAACTATCTACTCAACGTGTTTATTTTTTGTTAATGACATGTATTGACTATTTCCATTCTAAATATCTTGAGAACGGTTACTTGTAGCGATTTTTACCAAGAGACATTTTTTACGTAAAAAGTTACGGAAATATATATTTTTTCACTCAGTACTTTTATACAGGTACGGACGAAAAGTTTTTACTCTTCAAAACAGTTAAAACACATGTAGATCGCGCCCCCTACAAATGGGAGTCATATGTTGACATCAAAATCAAATTTCTGATGCTAAAAAACTCCCAGATGCCAATTTTCATCCAAATATTGACGTTGCTTCAGAAATTATTTGGAAAAAATCGAAATAAATATGAAACTTCTACACCCTGTATTTCCGAAAGTAAGCATTTTAGGACATACATTTATAGGAACTTTTTTACTTATTTTTGTCTGCAGAATATGCTGTCAAAGTTTCCGGAATACAATTCGGACCACCCTGTATATTAGTCTGTACTTACTTTGCTATAAATATGGTAATCTTAAACCCTGTATGTGTTATTTATTCCCATAGTAATTCTATGCCCAACTTTCTAAAATATAAAATAGTTTTTCATGGTTTTTTTTAAATGGAAGGGTTAAAAATTGTAAAATGTTTTAAATACAAAAAACGCTCATTATTTAATTCTACATCTAACAAAAAAATAATAATAGGGCGCTTAAAAAACACAAAAACATTAAAAAACCCATTTAAAAAAAAACGAAGAAAAAATATTTAATATTTTCCCCCTCCCCCTCTATGAGCAGCTTTGACACACATCGATCTATTTTTAAGGCCACCATATCGAAAAATACTTAATATAGGATTAGTATTGGAGAATAGCTAATGATTTCTCCTTGTTACAGAAAACGTGACGTGTGACGACATCCGTTGCCAGGACCGGCAACATTGCCTCGCCGACGTCGCGGCCGGGGGAAGACCCCGGTGCGTGTCCTGCGCCGACGCATGTCGCTCCAAGTACCTGCACGGACCTGTGTGCGCCACCAACAACAGCACGTACCCTACGTGGTGCCACATGATGCAGGACGCGTGCGCCAAGGGCTACGTCATCGAGACCAAGTACGCCGGCAAATGTGTGAGTTGTCCCCAAGTTGATAATAATTATAAAGGTCTTTATTAGCAATTTATCATTAAGTATACAAGAAATATGAGAAGAAAATTGATATTATCAGAAGGCTGTACTTAAACTGCCGTTAAACGGTAGCTTACTAAAATGCCGTTAATAGGTATGACGTCGTTGACGAGACGCACTTGAAGGCTTTATGAAATATAGGAATTTTATAAGGACTAACCAACGCTATCCACCCCACCAAATAACCAACGCAACTAACCTCAACACTTGTAAAAAATATAAAAAACAAATATAAATTAGTAAAAACCAACCAACCCTACGAAATAACCAACTAACCAATGAATTAATACCCTCCAAATAATCACGCTAACCAACCCACCAAACCAAACCAAAAAAGTCTTGGTCGGCATGAGATTTGAACCACGTACCATTCGCTCACGAAGCGATAGCCTCGGACACGGAGCCACAGATGCTCTTGCAAAATGCTTATAGTTAGGCATTACTTTCCGCCGACATGAACGACGTCACAATATCTATTAACGGCATTTTAGTAGGCTACCGTTTAACGGCTGTTTAAGTACATCGTTCTGTAACGGCTGAAGCTGATAACGTTCTGATAATGGCTCGGTGGCTGAGGCTATCGCTTTGTGAGCGAATGGTCCGTGGTTCAAATCTCACGCTGACCAAGACTTTTTTATATTTTTTTTGCTTATAGCGTGATCTTATTGCATTGGTTTCACTCTTTTTGGTTACATTGGTTTAGTTATTTGGCGGGTTGGTTAGCGTGGTTATTTGGAGGGTGTTAATTCATTGGTTAGTTGGTTATTTGGTGGGGTTGGTTGGTTTTTACTAATTTATATTTGTTTTTTTATATTTTTTTATCAGTGTCGAGGTTAGTTCCGTTGGTTAAGTTGGTTATTTGGTGGGGTGGATAGCGTTGGTTAGTCCTTATAAAATTCTTATATTTCATAAAGTCGTCAAGTGCGTCACATCAACGACGTCATACCTATTAACGGCATTTTAGTAAGCTACCGTTTAACGGCAGCCTTATCAGAATAACGGCAGCCTTATCAGAAGGCGATGAGAGTCGGTACTAAATTCAAAATAGAAAATAACATGTTAGCCAACCTAGGGCTTTACAAAAATAAATAAACAGAGAAGAATAAACACTATCAAATATACTAAATTTCACCTAATAGACAGGGCGTTTCAAAAAACATGTGCCATCTCCAGTGGGGAGATACCTCCCGTAATAATAATATTTATTTTTCATATCCATATAGGTCCGATTCTGCTCTGTTTCGTAACTACAGGGTGTTAAAATCTTAATATTTTTTCGATTTATTATAATTTTCTTCCATGTACTTGTAGCATTTCGAATGAAATTTTGAGGGTAAAAGTTACTACAAATGCGACATATTTTGAAGCTAAAAAAATGTCAACATGTTCACCAGGGACGTGCATACGGGTTATCACTGGAATAATTTTCTAAAAAAGCATGTACGCCACTGACTTGTTACCGAAATAGTGTAAGCAGTTTAATGCCGATTAAATGTTTTTATTCGATTTCGGCCTCCTTGATGAGATAAACGCAATTTTATTAATTTACCTTGATCCAAAGTCTCATAGCAACCTTTAAAAAAATTTAATATAATTAACTTGCGAAAGTTTTAAATAACTACTCATTGATTCCTCATCAAAAAATATAAAAAAAAGATCCCTTAAACATGGGTATGGGAATGCATAATTTTAGAGTTAGGGTAGCACCGGTTGTGGCCAGGTTAAGGGATTTTTAGAGTTTGACTTATCAGAAAAAATATTTGTAGTTAATTTTGGAGAAAAAACAAAATTTTTGGTGCTTCTCCAAACATTTTTCTTTCAAAGTCTGCTTTTATTGTAAAGATCTGTATTCTGAATAAACAGAAAATAAGCATTTTATGAAAACATACGATTTTTCCCATTTGTGGCCACCTTGTGGTTTTCAATAATGTCTATTTAAACTTTTTATCTTAAAAATACTTGTAATATCACCCTCAGAATATCAAAACTTATTCAGAAACAATCTGTATATTAGAATCTTCACTCAAACCCAAATTATCAGGGTTGGCTTGATTTAAATCGTGATTTAAATCAAGTGGTTTTTTTAATTTTAATCATGTGATTTAAATCAAAAATAATAATTTTATTGAAACTTTATAATAAACTAGCGTGTAAACCCGCGACTTCGTTCGCGTCGAATTAATCATTTGTAATGGTGATGATAAAGCAAAGCAAGAATTTCCATTAACATACAAACTGGATAAAATTTTCTCACATTTATGTCAGCATGAGAAAAAACAATTTGGCGATATTATTATATAACTTGGTAATATTTGAGAGGTAGTTTCATCTCGTTGGAATTTGACTTTCGAAAAATCCATTTGCCAAAAATAGGCTTTTTACGTCAAGCAGTTTAAGCAGAATCGTGGTTAATCAATTACCCAACTTTTTGGAACACCATTTTTCCGAAAAACTCACCGGTTTTTAAATAAACAATATTGTAATATTTGAGGGGTGGTTTCACCCCCTTAGAATTCGAGTTTCGATAAATCCCTTCTTTTCGAACCTCTACACCCTAAAGTCAATCCATTTTCCAAAAATCAGCTTTTTACGTGAAGCGCTTTAAGCAGGATCATGATTAATCAATGACCAGATTTTTCGAAACACCCTGTATGCATTTTTAAAAAATCTTAAAATATGTAAAAAAACAAAATAAAATATACGTGTTTAAGCGTTTTTTCGGAAACTCGACCGTTTTTTAAATAAAAAATATTTTAATATTTGAGGGGTGGTTTCACCCCCTTGGAACTGGAATTTCGAAAAATCCCTTCTTATCGAACCTCTACACCCTAGAATCAACCTGTATACTAAAATTGAGCTTCTTACGTTGAGTGGTTTGACCAGGATCGTGATTAATCAGTATGTCAGTCACTTAAGGATTTTATATACCTACTAGCATGTACCCGCGACTTCGTTCGCGTCGAATTAATCATTTTTGTAATGGTGATGATAAAGCAAAGCCAGAATTTCCATTAACATACAAACTGGATAAATTTTTCTCACATTTATGTCAGCATGAGAAAAAACAATATGGCGATATTATTATATAACTTGGTAATATTTGAGGAGTAGTTTCATCTCGTTGGAATTTGACTTTCGAAAAATCTGTTTGCCAAAAATAAGCTTTTTACGTCAAGCAGTTTAAGCAGAATCGTGGTTAATCAATTACCCAACTTTTTGGAATATCCTGTATGATCCCCCTAATTATGCGTCTCCAAGCGTTTTCCCGAAAGACTAACCGTTTTTTAAATAATAAATATTGTAATATTTGAGGGGCGTTTTCACCCTCTTAGAATTTTAGATTCGAGAAACCCCTCCTTATCGAACCGTTTGCCAAAAATTAGCTTTAAACGTCAAGCAGTTTAAGCAGAATCGTGATTACTCAATGGTCATATTTTATGAAACACCTTGTATAAATTTATAAAAAATCTTAAAATATGTAAAACAACAAAATAAAATATACGTGTTTAAGAGTTTTTCCGAAAAACTCACCGGTTTTTAAATAAAAAATATTGTAATATTTGAGGGGTGGTTTCACCCCCTTAGAATTCGAGTTTAGAAAAATCCCTTCTTATCGAACCTCTACACCCTAAAGTCAATCCGTTTTTCAAAAATCAGCTTTTTACGTCAAGCGCTTTAAGCAGGATCGTGATTAATCAATGACCAGATTTTTCAAAACACCCTGTATACATTTTTAAAAAATCTTAAAATATGTAAAAAAAGAAAATAAAATATACGTGTTTAAGAGTTTTTTCGGAAACTTGACCGTTTTTTAAATAAAAAATATTGTAATATTCCACCCCCCTTTTTACACCCTTAGGGGATGAATTTTAAAAAATCATTTCTTATCTCACGTAAACATCATAAAAGGAACCCCTGTGCAAAACTTCAGTTTTCTAGGGTCTAGGGTTTGGTCTGGGCAGTGATGAATGAATCAGGACTCACAGATTTATATATATATATAGATAAACAAATAACTGTAAAAGTTATAAAAATGTGTCTTAGAAAACTATAAAAAATATTTCTATAAGAGATATAACAGATAATAAATCGAAAAATAATTGTAAATGTTATAAAACTATATAAAAATATCTATTCATCAATTTAAATGTTGGACCGATTTTTGAAGTAATTTCGTGTGAATCTATTAGACCGCAGGGATTTATTTTAAAATTTCTGTAGAAGTGACAAAAATTCGCTTTTCGAAAACATATCATTCGCAGTGTAGTGCAGAACTATAGGTTCTTCTGATATAGAGACTATATCTTCATTCCCGAGAAATTATAATCGTTGTCAGAAAATATGCTGTTTTATACAGGCCCGGCAATGGATCTCTAGGCATAGGAATTACATGCATTGGAATGAAACACCTATAAAAAGTCTGTGCTTAAACAGAGATGGACAACAACTTCCCCCTTTCCACTTCCACTACGACTGTCTACTTAGACAAACTCCAATAAGATAACAAATTTTGGAAATTCCGCCACCTCCCATCCACTCATGATACCCACCTCCCTGCCCTTTATTTATCGCCATTATTTTATTTCCCTTCCCGCGCTTCCGCACCTCGCTATTCCGACTACCGTCAGTTCATCACAGAGTTGCCAGGTCTACCGGTTTCGTCTGTAAGCTATCGATCTACCGATTTAAAGAAAAATCTAACGATATATTCAACTGCGTCTTTAGTTTTTACAATAGAAGCACTTTTAAAAAGCTGACTTATTTGACTAAAAATTAAGCGACTGCCGCGTTGGAATCTGTATAATCTGACTTTATTATTGTTTCATTAAATTTTATTTAGTAATAACACACATACAGGTCATCGTTCTGTCTAGTTGCAGAGTTACAGAGATATTCCTAAAAATCCTTATTACTCCTTATTAGGCGCGGTATTGGCGACATACCCGAAGAAGTTGATATCTTTTGAAAAGATTTTATTTCATTCATCTACTAAAGTTGAACGCATATTTTCCCCCAAAAAATGTAAACAAAAACAAAATTTAAGTTAAGAAACAACCTAAATTCGGACAAATATTTTAGTGATTTTCCCGTCAAAAAATATATTAATATGAAAAAAGAGTTGAGAGTTGCTACAGCTTTCCCATTGAAATGAAATTAATTTTAGATATCACTGATCAAAATTTGTACAAAGGTAAAAAGTGACTGCTACACTAATTTGTGACTGCTATCCCTACTTATTATAGTTTTATATGTTTTTATTAATATATTAATATATTAATATTATTTAATTCATTATTTTTTTTAATATCAAATAATATACCTAGCTATTTCTAATTCTTGTTATATTTATTATATTTGTATTTTATTTGAGTGATCTATTATTACGACACATAGGAATGCTAATTTTGGAGTTAAATATTATATTTTATTTCGTTTCTGTACTTTTAATTTTTGTTGAAGATCTACTGAGAATTTTGTTCTCGTATGGAATTATAATCTAACAAACCCGGCAACCCTGCTCGGCTACTCCTTATAAAGTTTTTTTCGGCCTAATTCCTTTGTCACAGCCGCGGCTTTGTCAAGCGCCGCCGCCGACCGACTGTGTCGGGGCGACTGCTAGGAAGATCGTACAGTATTGCCATTTCATAGAATTGCACTTGCTATTTTTAGAAATGATTTCAAAGTTTTGCATGTTACTTTTCGTTTTAGAAAGAAGTTATGTGCCTAGAGAAAACATTCTTAAAATTGTTTCGTACTTTATTTAATATTTCATTAAGTAGGCAAGATAATGGGATTAGAAGATTTAGGATTTTGACAAGCCAACATAATTTCTGATTTAATTGAATGGCAACACTGTCCGTCCTGTTTCTATTTTTTCGATTCTGTTCTATTAGTAGGCGGTAGCCCCCACACAAGCGTCTCAAAGACCCGCCCGGCGCCCCTCTCGCAGGGGCTCTCTCGTCGTATCACTTCTATGATCACTTCCCCTATACGATGGTAGGGAAAAGACACTTTATCCGTCTCTGTTGCACTGCAGTGTATTTTGCAGCCTTACCATCTTTTTTTATCGCATTGAAAACCTCCTATTGCTAATATTCCTTTGCCAGCAGTGTATATATTTTTTGAAACGGTAGTATGTTTCCAAATTCCTACCGACATTTTGATCAGCAGTAAGTTCTTCACACTATGACATTAGATAATAATAATTTTATTCTCGAGTTAAGACTATTTCCGAACAATAGTGTATTGTTTTATTATGAGTAAAAATTATACTTTTTTTGACGATGCTGTACCTTTGAAGGACTATCGTAAAGCTATTCCGAGGTTACAGGGAGGAACAAAAAGTACATTTTTACTCCGAAAAGGACACAACCTTTTCTTAAAACATTACAAATAATTTTTTAATCAATTTGAAACATTGCTAATAATATAAATAGTAATCGAGCAACAATTTTTACACTCGTTGAATTTGACATTTAATATTTTTTTTGTTTAATAATATATTTTTGTGCTTAGGCGTAACAGTGCTTTACTTTTATGCATAGGCGTTAAAATTACAAAAATTAATACTCTTGAGACGTTTGAAAAAAGATCCTTTTGATCTGAAGCGAGCGACTTTATATGCGTAATATATTGGTAACCGATGTGGAAAAATGACACGCGCCGTAAAATTGTTAATGTTATCGGTATCGGGCAGAGTTATAAAGATTTAGCCATTTAGGATAGGATCCTTGTTTATATATTCTTAAAGTTGGTCAACCTCTCGACAAAATGTGCTGCCTCTGGCGAACAAATCGCAAAGCTTTAAAAGAATGAAGCATGTGATTAGGGGCGGAGTCAAAAATATCGATTATTTGCGGTATTTCCCTCAGAGTAATGTAATAATATAGCTCGGATTTTTGCGAACTATAATAGGCTCAGCTGATTAAGAAATTTAAACAAAACTATTATTTCATTGTTGATTTTCGATTATTTTCACTGTTATTTTAAGGATTCTAAACCGTATTTAACAAAGAAATAACAATTTTCAATATGTTGGTACATTAATGCTAATTACTGGTAATTATTAATATTTAAAAAAAGTTACATACACTTACTTTATTTCGATTTGACCCAGGGCTATAAAATTTTATTTCATTCTTCGATCATTTCATTCTAAATTGAAGTTTTACGTTTTTAAGATAATTTTTTTTTGAAAACAAAACGTTTATACATTCTTGATTAATTTTTTTCTTAATTAAAAATAAAACTTGGCACTTATTTCAATAATATTATTTGACATTTAAATAAATATTATGTACTTAATACACCATTTAAATCTTTATTACACGAAATAAATCTTTCTTAGCGTAAAACATGGTCAGAGTCAAATTTGCTTTAACTTTGTACCATATGAAAAAAAACGGCGTCCAGTTGGCAGGGAAATGACGATCGACGACATTTCCGACGGTCGACGACATTTCCCACATAAATTTACATATAAAATGACAGCGGTCTTCATTTCATAGCCATCGCTGACGCCGTTTATTTTCGATCTAGAATTATAAAACTGAAAATATCATTATGTTTTAACTCACAAAGCCCGTTAAACCATAAAACTTTCTAGTATATTAGCGATTAGAGTAAAATGACACTTTTCGTGGCGAGACTGTAGGTTTGACATACAGCCGAAGCACAAAAAGTCATTTTTACTCCGAATAGAACATGCTATTTTTTTCAAACGCCACAAATAATGTTTTAAACAATTTCAAACGTTACAAATAATATAAAAATATTTAAAACTCATACCTTGTAAGTAATTATCATGATACAAAAAAACAAGGTATGATATTGCGCAGGTTGGTCACAACGTCACAGGTGATAAACGGCAATATTGGTCGGCAAGCTCCACGCGCCAATTTCAAATTTTTCAAACAGATGACACATAATAAATGTGTATAATGTGTCATAAGTTTTCAAATGTCCAGCTCGATGATTTTACATAACTTTAGGGGTTATTTAATTCTTCCCTATTTTAGGTCTTTTTTTATTAGTGGCAATTGAACAATACGGATATTTCGTTGTATGGCATATGACGTCACAGGCGATATGCGCAAATTGAACGAAATTGGAGACGCTATCGATCATAATGTGATCTGTGATACCTTGTTTTCAAGTTTTCTTTGTACCATGAGTAATTATATATCGAGAAACTATGGTTACGGCTCGTTGAATTTGAGACTTGTCATTTTAATAATATATTTTCATACTTTTATGCTTAGGCGTAAAGTGCTTTACCTTTATGCCTAGGCGTTAAAATGACTTGAATTGTCAATCAAAAAAAGCAAAATTTAATACTTTTGTGACGTTTGAAAAAAAAATAATATTTTGAAACTAACTGGTATATTTTTCTGCCACAACAAAGTTATTATACAGTGATAAATGATAAGATCATATTGAAATACGCTACTGGGAAAAAAAAATTGGCTAAATTTTATCAATAATACTCCATTTCAAAAGTTATTTTCCAAAATAATTAATATTTTTTAATAATTGATTGCAATTAATATTATTTGACTAGTTTAATTTGATTAAATAATAAGACTAGAATAATTTCATTTAAAATAAATTTGATCAGATTTTTTTCGTATATTCAACTACCAGAAAAGTAGAAGGAAGATTATAATGTATCTATCACAATATTTAAAAGAACAACTACAATAATTATTAGAAGAAAAACAAAAATAAAAAAATACCCAAATACCTTCACCTTCTACTCAACTACAAAATAAATGAATATAATCTCTTACACTACACAAACTACTTCTTGTATTCTACACTAACTTAATAATTAATCAAACATAAAGAAAAATTAACCAAATTACCCCTTCACCTACTACTTAACTTCAAAATAAAATATAAAAACACTACTAAATTTCTTCTGGTAGTCTACACTAAACATTATAATCAAACTTAATAAATTAATCTAATTTTACATTACAACTACAAAGAAACAAGAAAATGTTTTAAAACTACAAGAAATAAAATTTCGATACGTGTGACCAGTATAATAGATCAAGCGGACAAAGAATATAAAATACTTTAAATTGTGCATTCAGAAAGAAAAATATCTCGAAAATTATCTAAACAAACATTTTTTTTTCTTATCAGTGAAAAAACATCGACCTCGTCGGCCTTGCGGAATTTGTCGGGTATTTACAATGGTCGAATTGTATAATTACCAGCTTTTTATAGCATATCTAATAGACAAAAGTATCTGGTCGATTAGTAACCAATTGGCACAGTTCGAAAATTATCGATTTTTATTTTCTTTGTTTTTATTGGCCGCTTCAAAATTCAGAGTAACAAAAAATATTTTTCTCTAGTAAAATACTGTGAAATACGCCCCGCCATCTGGTGCTTTACATCCATAAACGTCTTAGGTTGAGCTACTTTAAAAATTCATATATAAGGATAGGATTTTAATCGGAAATAAGTCCTAATCATTTGGAAATCCGATTTAAATATTGTTTTGAATTAAAATCAAAAAAATCTGATCTTTATTTTTTTTTAAATCATGATTTTTTCCTACCTTGCAAATTATACAGTTAATATTCTGATGTAGTTAGCTATAATCTTGATTTTATTCATTTATATTTATTGTTTTATTAATTATTTTACTAATTAAATATATTTTCTTCTTTTAGGTATCGAAGACAAAACTGGCACATTTTTGAGCTGCAGAAGATAGATGACAAAAATTAATTTAATTGGAAACCAAAGATTTAGCAAAAAGCTGACACAACATTAATACTTATGTATTCCATGTTAAACAATTTAGACAAATTTTACTTAATTAGATATTACTCAAATGTATTATAGATTATTTAATTTATATTGTAACTTAATATATACAAGAATTAATATTATGTGTACTTAATCTTTATTAATTTACATCAACCCCTGTTCTAATGTTAAACTAATTTTATACTTAAAATTGATGATGTTACCTTTTAAATAATATCTCTGATAATAATTCTTTAATTCCTTTATTAGTTCTAAAGAATAATAAGTATGTATTCTTTTCTTCTTATTACCTAAAGATATACAGGTTGTTAATTTGTTTATTACTCGCGGCAAGAGCTTTATGGTTGAAATATGGCAACCTCGGCCCGCTCATCGATAGACGACGCGACGCGACGCGACTGGACGAGTCGGCAGAAAACCCTATAAGTGCATGCGTTTTCAATAGGCAGTGTTGCCATTCTGTTCCCCTATCAGTAACTATCCAATTAACAATCTGTATTTAGGTACATACCTATCAAACTTTTTATGCGGATTGTATACCTTTTGGGGAGTAGTTTTAGAGGAAAAAATTGTAACACTGTTCTCGGCCAGCTTTGGCTGAAAAAATGGCCTCAAATGACTGAAAAGTATTTTCCAAAATATCTGCCAAAATATGCAATATACAAAATTTTTCTTCAAATAAAAAATGAAGCTTAGTTAATAACCTATAAAAATTTCTACATACCTATAAAAATGGTTCTTATCATTTTTAACGGAGAATTATGGGTTTTTGAGATATACTGGACTATAAGCTATAAGAAAAGTTTATTCCAACAATTTATAAAATATCACATACATATATAGAGCTCCTTTTTTTTAAAATACCACTTCATTAAGATACTTCTTCCTTTTTAGGATGATTCTCCAAAAATGAAATCACATGGTTTTCTAATACAATTTGAGCTAAAATAGAGTTACTACTTGATTTTTAGATTTAAACAATAGTAGTTCATAATTAATATATTACATACATACCTGAAGTACTATTATTTTCTACAGCTATTCTCAATGCCGTATCATCAGATAAATTAACCAATGAGAAATCAGCGCCATTTAGTAACAGCTCGTGACAAGTATGAGGATGATTTCCTTTTGCTGAGTACATTAACGCTGTATTACACAACTAAAACAAAATAATGAGTTAAAACCATAAAAATCACCAAAAATTATCTCATACATGATCTACATGATTCACATCAGCTTTGCTAGTTAAAAGTAGCTTCACAACATCATGATGTCCCCCACTAGCAGCTAAAATTAAAGGGCTTTCCTCCTCTGGCCCTAATTTATTCACATCAGCTCCATAACTAATCAGTAATTCCACAGCATTATACTGACCGTAGGCACAAGCCCAATGTAAAGCGGTCAGCTCATTTTCATCCGTAATATCTACATCGCTTTCCTTAAGAATGTCTTGTTCAGTGAGCTCTCCCTGGCCAGCTTTTGTATGAAAATTCAACTCTATTTTTTGTGGTACTAACGTTTCCGCTTGTGTGTTTCCTCGCTGGAGATTAGTTAATACTGTGGTGGAAGAAGCACGCTGTCTGTAGGGCTGAAACGCACTTTTTCGATTTTTGTCGTGTAAAGATTGAGGTGACCATTTTTGAGTGGAGTTGATTAGACTAAAACTTCCGATTAGAGTTGAGGTTTGTGCTAAATTAAAATTCTTTTTTGTCTCTTTTTCGTCCCCTGAAGATTCTTGGTCCTTGTCCATTTTATATTTTTTTTTAAACGATTTTAAAATTAAATAGATCTAAATAGATAAATAAAAAGAAACCCAAAAAATTGGGTTATGAAAATTTGACGTTTCCCACAGATTATTATTAAGAGGGTACCTCAGATTAATTCACCCTATGAAGGCTTTGATATATTTTATTGCTAACTTCAGCCGATTCAGAAATCAGCTGTTTTAGCCAATTGACGTTTCGTTGGAGGATTAAAAACAATTATTAATTTAACATATTTTTGGGATAATAAACAAGTCGATATACTGAATTGTTGCAAAGTGACAATGCTAATTAATTTAACTTTGAAGGTTTAGAAGAAGGATCATCCTGAAGGTTATATTCTATTTTTTCTCGTTTGTTGATACGATTTAGGATCATTTTTCTGTATTTTTAGTGAAAATTACATAGATATGCTTTAATATAGGTTGCGGTTTTGTTTTAGATAACGTTATCACAGAGTGTTTATTTAAGAATGCCCGCAGAATAACAAGAGTCTCTAAAAATGTCGGGCCAACCAGCTGTTCAAAGAAACCTAGAAAATCATCTTCCGGGTACCCCATTATTAGCCCTGAACCGAACGAGGAACAACAATCAGTTAGTGAACATTCGCGATCGACTTTTTCTTACGTTATTTTACCGGGTCTCCCTGGCTTATGCGCGGACTTTCCCAAAGTCAGTGAGACGCTTTATCGAGTTCGTAGTGTTAGTTAAGGCTTTAGCTGCGTTTTTTGTGCTAGTTTATATTCACCTATCCTTTTCAAAGACTCCGAGTACTTGTTTGCATAGAGTTAAGGACACATGGCCTAGAGATGGTATTTTGAGGGTAGAGATAGTTAGAAATCTGCAAAAGGGGTACAGTATTGAGGATAGTTATGCGAAGGAGGAAAGACTGAAACAGCAGTTTAAAAGCGACGATTTGACGAGTATGTTAGGGTTGCTTGCAAGGGATGGATTTGTTAATATCGAGCCTTCAACTGCTGAAGAGAGTGAAAAGGAGACCCAACCATTATCAGGAAAGAATGGTAAGTTTAAATGGGTTATATTTTTTCTTATTACTTACGTAGAAAAACATTTACAGTGGTATTTTATTTTTTAAATTTATTTTTAAAGCGCGCCTTCACCATTTTGTCATTATAATAATAATTTCTCAACTTTCTCCTTGGTTTATTTTAAGGTGAAAGCAATACTGGGGGACATATAATAGCAATTTACATAAACATGAAGACAGCTGCTTTCTCCTTTTGAATGCTGTTTATTGTTACAATAATATTTTTGTAAAGGAAATAATATAATTTTTGTAACAGTCCTTCAAATAGGTTACCTAATTTAAAAATATTTAAAAGAATATAACATAAGTAATATAACAATATTGGTCATGAAATATTTATTTTTTATGTAACAGTATAGATATTGTTTCATAAAACAGATTTAAAAACTGATACAGTTGGCTTTGGCAGCAATAATTTAATAGCCATCGCTGACGCCGTTTTTTTTTCAATTATTATAGTATTCAATTTGAGTTCAAGTATTGATCAGGTGTGCTCAAAAAGTTGACAAGTTGACAAGCACTTGTTTGGAAAATTGCATTAGAATTTTTCTAACCCTCAAACTTAAAATAGCCACTCTGTGATGCTAATAGAAAGAACATGTGCTAAAAATAAATATAAAAATTTTATTTATCATGAGAAACATAAATGTTAAAATATCATTGGCCATGAGCAGAGATTTTTTAGTGATTTTTTATGTAAATGTATAAAAGCAGAAACAGAATGATCTTGAACTTAATAAATAAAATTGTGGATATTTTTTTTGCAAGGTAATTTTTGCTTTATTATTGACTGTTAAAAACTTCTAAAATCTTATAATATTTTGTTAATCTGTCTTAGACAATATAAACTTAACATTAAAATTAAAAATAAAAGAGGTAGGTATTCAAGGAGTTCAATTTAAATCTTATAATAAGTACCTAGATTTAACACTTAAATAAAACAAATATTTAGTTTTTTTGGTCTTGTTAATTGTAACAAAAATTAACAAGTATGTTATTTTTTAATAATGGGTTATTCACGCTTTGTACCAGTAAATTTTTTGAATATTTTTTTTGAACCATTTTCCCCTATCTTCCAAAATAAAGTGGTGGGGGAAGGTTACATCTGCTTTTATTTAAATATTAATAACTCTGGACTGGATGAACGGAATCCAACAAACGGAGGTGTGCTTAAAAGAGCGTTTCATACTCTAATATTATACCTTATAAATAGATAGATAGATAGATAGATAGATATTTCTTTATTTATTTCCAATGTTTACAATAAAAACACATAAAATAGCCCAAACAGGCATGGAAACATTGTCAAATAAGAATATTTTACACCAAAATAATATAATTACAGTTAAGATAATACTACAATTAAACTAAGATCTTAACTAAGTAAAATAAGCAAATACATAGAAGAAATAAAAAACGATAGAATTAATATATACAAACAACAAATATTACACATTAGATATCAGACTTATAAACACAGCTTTATCGGATCTGTAAAATTCTTCTAATGAATAAAAAGGCTTTCTTTGCTAGAAAGATTTTTAATGTGGCTTTTAACTTGTTTCTTGCCAAACCTCGAACACATTCGGGAAGGAAATTGTACATTTTTATTAATGAGAAATCAACATTTTTTTGTAGGTAGCTAAAATTATATTTATCTCCGACTAAATAGGACTTATTTCGCGTAGGGTAATTGTGAGTTAGTTTCAAATTTTTGAAAAATTGCCAGTTATCATAAACAAACATTATACACTCTACAACATATATACTTGTTATTGTTAGTATTTTTTGTTCAATAAAATAATTTTTACAGCTCTCCGTGGGTTTCATTCTAAATATTGAACGTATGCATTTCTTTTGCAAAAGCAAAATTCTCCCGATATCGCTCGAGTTTCCCCAAAATATTATGCCATACTTTATCCTTGAGTAGATAAATGCATAGTACGCTGAAAGTGCAGCATCTACCCCAACAGCGTCTGATATTATCCTCAGCGCAAAAGAAAATTGTGCAATTTTAACCGCCACGGTTTCAATATGTCCTCTCCAGTCCAGTCGTTCATCAATTCCCACTCCCAGAAACCTTAACTTTTAACTGAATTAATTTTAATATTATTATACATCAGCTCAAAATCTGAAAACTTCCGATTACCAAAAGAAGGCATTGTGTCTTTGAAATATTTAATGTCAAGCCATTATTATTGAAATAATTCACCAGAGTGTCGACAGCAGATGTCACTCTTTCTGTTAGTGGATTTATTAAATCATCGCTAAATAGCAGAGTGGTATCATCTGCATATAAGATTGTCTTTTCGCCAGTGACATTCGGAATATCGTTTGTATACAAAATATATAGCAGTGGACCCAGCACTGAACCTTGAGGGACTCCTTTTTTTAGCACTATTTTATTTGAGATAACTCTTTTGCCATAATCATCATATTCTACGATTTGCTGAGTTCTATTGCTTAGATATGATTCGAATAATTTTAATGCAGTTCCCCTAATTCCAAATCGCTCCAATTTCATTAATAAAAATTTGTGATCGACACTATCGAATGCCTTAGAAAGGTCTAAACACATTATTAAAGTTTGTTTTCCATTATTTAAGGACTCTATTACAAAAGATAATGCTTGGTATAAAGCTCGTATTGTTGATCTTCCTTTCATGAAACCGTTTTGTTTATCCGATATAATTTCGTATTTCTCAACAAAATCTATCAAACGCTTATGTAAGACCTGCTCAAAAATTTTACTGATGTTTGGTAATAAAGATATCGGCCTATAATTTCTCTCATCATCTTTTGCACCTTTCTTAAATATTGCCCGAATATATGCATTTTTTAGGCTATTTGGAAATGTCCCTGTCATAAAACATAGATTTATAATATACGCGAATGGCTCTGAGATACTATTTGCTACTTCTTTTAGGACAAAAATAGGAATTTCGTCATCTCCCACTGCTCTCTTATTTTTTAAATTTTTTATAGTAGAAAAAATTTCCCGTGTGTCAGTGGGTAATAGGAAAAATGAAGAGACTGGTTCTGAGTTGCTTGTGAAGGAGCCTACATTGTCACAATTGAGAGCAAAATTTGGACAAGAATTTATAAAATAATTATTCAACTCGTTTACTACCTCGTGGATATCTCTATATTTGGTTGAGAAGTTTTCCATTAGATTGCAATTATTAGTTTTATTATTATTTGTGATACTATTTACAACTTGCCATGAAGCCTTTACTTTGTTTTCGGAATTTTTAATAAAATTTTTGTTAGAAATTCTTTTGGCTTCCTTTATCACATTTTTTAGAATTATACAATATTTTTTAAAAAACTCCCCCGATATTAACCCTTTGCTTTTCTTATAAAATAAAACTCGTTTATACCTGCAAGATGTTTTAATGCCAGAAGTTATCCACTCGTTCGATTTACAGTTTATCTTAGCTTTTTTAATTACAAAAATTTTGTCAAAAAGTGATTTAAATATATTGAGAAAAGCAGTATAAGCCGAATCTACCGATGTCGCCCGATACACATAAGACCAATCTATCCTTTCAAGTTCCTTCCCAAAGTAATCAATTTTAGTTTTTGGAAAAAATCTTTTATATGTAACCTTTCCCTGCTTGACAGTGACACTATTTTCAATCAATAAAACTTGAGCTGTATGATCCGACAATGCTGTATTTAATACAAAACTCTTGGAGTTGATTTTACAATTACAGAATATGTTATCTATAAGAGTTGATGAAGTACTTGTAATTCTCGTAGCCTCAAATATACATTGCGAAAGGTTATAACTATTCATTAAGTCTAAAAAACTATTTACAATTTTTGTTTGATCAAACATGTTTATATTGAAGTCTCCTCCAATTATCACACGAAAGTTCACATACCTGGTAAAAATCTCATCTAATATCCGTCCCAGCGCACTCAAAAAAAGTTCGAATGGGCTTATTCCTCGTCTGTAAATGCACAAAACTAACAGTTTTTTATTCTTTTCAACCGCACAAGCCACTTCGATCGTGCCTTCGATGGATTTCTTCTTTATGCTTTCTTCCTCCTTGAAGTCAAATCTGACGTCAGTGTAGATACAGGCATGAACTTAGTCATACAGTAACTGAACTTAGTCAATAATAATAATAATACAGAAAGACTAGAAATTCTAGAAAAAGAAGACATAAAAAAGACAGAAAGACTAAAAAACTGCTTACCTCAGGGAAAATTCACCACCCAAAAGACAATGCTGATAGGATCTATATGAGAAGACTAGCATTTGAAACTGTAATCATGGGACTGAGTGAGTACATAAAAGAGAAAAAAGGTGAATTAGTAAAGATTATTAAGAAGCAAGACGAAGCAAGAGCAAAATACTCAATTATGAAGGAAGCAGCACGAATCAGAATGAAATATGACACAAATGAAGAAACATCCAGGAACATGAAACTGAAAATAAGAGAAGAAATAGAAAAGCGAGGAATAGAAAGATTAACAGAAAAACCACTATACGGACAATTTATGAGGCATTTAGATAAGAACTTCGTCAATAAAAAGAGTAGCATACAGTGGTTAAATGGTGCAAGATTGAAAGGAGAGACAGAAAGCCTAATAATGGCTGCACAAAATCAAGCCCTAAGTACAAGATATAGACAACTGCAAAGCATTCGGAATGGAAGTTTGTGCGAAATACTACGAGCATATTCCTAAAACTATTACAAACATCAAAAACAAAGACAATGAAGTAACAATAATGTGGGATTTGCCCATCATAACAGATCGACAAATAAATGCGAATAGACCAGACATGGTACATGACAAAAATAATAAAACTTGCCAACTTATAGATATATCAGTACCAGACGATTCCAACGTACAATTAAAAGAAAACGAGAAGATAATGAAATATAAGAACCTAGAAATAGAAATCAGCAGAATGTGGAATGCAAAGTCTTGTACTATACCGGTTATTGTGGGCGCTTCCTA